GTTTCACCAGTCTCTGTGGCCGGCATCTTCAGAGGACAGGAATTAGAACTCTGTGTTCTGCTGTAGAAAAACCTCCAGGTGACAGCCAAACAGCCCGAAAAACCTACAACTACAGTAGTGCCTTGCATAGCGAGCGCTTCGCTATGCGATAAACCACACAACGAGGGGTCCCGGGCCATCACTGGAGCTTTCGCTCAGCGATGGCCCCTATGGGCTTTTTTCGCTATGCGATGATCGCACGGACGCGATCAAAGCATAGCGAACAGCTGATCAGCGGTTCCAAAATGGCCGCCGCTAAAACAAAATGGTGACCGCTTTTTTGCCTCGCTAATGAGGCATCCAAAATGGCCACCGCAATGGAGGAAACTCGCAGAAGGGTGAGTTTTAAGCCCATAGGAAAGTATTAAATCAGTTTTAATACGTTCCTATGGGCTTTTTTATTTCACTTAACGATGGATTCGCTGAGCGAGGGTTAATCCGGAACGGATTAACCTCGCTAAGCAAGGCACCACTGTATATGGGAAGTCCTTATCAGGATACAAACCAAATAAAAATTTCACCAATACCGAACTTTGAAGGGGAGATGAGTGCCCAAATGCTTATTTTGGCCAAGCAGAATATTGTCTTCTGCACCCTGAATTAGTGACTATTTGCATAAAAGTAGTAGTTATCTACATTGAAGACAATCTGAACACAAATTTTGGCAGACTGTTCCAGTATTTTAACAAGGTAAAACATTTGAAGACTAACTTTATGATACCTTAGAGGATAACATGCTTCATTTGACATAAGCTGACATCTACTTATAAGAACTTTGTTATTGTCTACTGTCCTGAGCCTTTTTAGAATGGATACCCACCACCTCCTCAAGAATGATAGAACCTCTGTATCTGTGTCCTCCTGTGGATTAAAAATACCTTCAGGTGACTTAAATTTCAGTTGTTACTTGGTGGGAGGAGCACACACAACCATAGATGGTTCTGCTTTGATCTTTACAACCTGTAGCTTATTCTTGAGTTTATACTTTTTCACCAGCTGGGGGATGACAAACAGGTAAGTGATAATATCAGAACCGCATACAACCAACTAAATTGGGCTGCATCTAAAGTGGTATCAAAATGCTACAACTGTGTGGTACACATACACTCTCAGGTCAGGATAACAGTTAAATTTTCAGTTTTCCCACAGAATGGATGAAAAATGACAAGCCGGTTTGCAGTCAGCTGCGGAAAGGCAGCTGATGAAAGCTTCCACTCAGTCCTACCCTGGAAGTACTGGAACCTATTTTCCCTGTGAAATATGATGCTGCCAATGAAATATGACAGTAGTGTTTAAATTGGAGAAGTCTTACAATATATGCTGCTGATGTGGATGCATGGCTAACTTGCTTATGACATTCTTTGATGGTGAAATTACCCAAATTTTTGGAAATTACTCTTGACTAACCTAAGATTATCAGGCTTCCATATCAGCAGTGAGTAGTACCTAATAATAACTTGCTTAGCATAATGGTGAGGTAATCAACACCTCTTTTAAAGACTCCTCTTTAACTGTGGATGGCAACACTGGTTGCCTTCTATTGCAATGGCATGCATTTTAGATATGTCTACCCATCTAGTTTTTATAAAGCAGTGGGTCCATGATATGATCTGTTATATTCAACTATGTTTTAATAAGACTGGTTGACAGGACCAATGAGGAAATTACCGTGGTACAGGCTTTTGTGTGTTTGTTTTTGCCACTTCTCAAGGGATATTTGCATTCTGATTCCAGACTCTAAAAAGCACTGATACAGACACAAGTGAGTACTTGTTTCGAACCTTAAAGATGTCAAAAAAAGCAATATCTTGAGATCTTCCCAAAGACCTGAGGCCTATGAAATCATGCAGGGCTCCAGATGGTTTCTTTTTCCATTACAATGGGCATAAGAAGCAGTTGGATAAGAACACAAGTGAGGTACTATACCACTTGCGGGCTTCAATCCTGCCATCTGAGCACTTATTTGTTGATTGCTGATAAGCTGACTGAACACAGCACAAATCAATGCTGAAGAGAAATGGCTGACAAATCTTCTGGGTTGATAGGAAAGAGTGATACTCATCATTCTTTTTCCCTAATGCTTCTTGTCTTCGGATGAGGTTCTAGGCCAATGAGAATAGTATAAGAATTTTTTTTCCACAGCCATGGTGTTTGTTACTTGTGTAGGTCCAGAACTGCCTGTGGCACACTTTATCTGAGGCTGCTTTGATGACTGCATGGAGCAAAAACGGGCAAAATGAGAGTCCAGCAAATTTTAGTTTAGTTTTGGGACTGCAATTTCCATCAGCTCTTAGCTTGCATAGCCAATGGGAGGAATGCTGGGAGTTGCAGTCTGACAATACCCAGAGGCCACCTAAACCATCTTGGAAGCTCTAGCCTCTAAAACCATCTTGGCTTAGAGGCCAGACCTCTGAGTGAGCCCCTCCCTTGAGGCAGCTGACCAGACGCTTGCCCTACTGACTCTCTTTAACCTCCTGGGAAAAATTTAGATGTCTGATTTAGTCTTATAAATGGCTAAATCTCAACAAAACGCAGCTGGAAAAAAAGGTTGATCTGAAAATAACAACAGCCAGATACTCATGTGAACTTCCATGGGCTCCTATGGCCCACCTCCTCAGATGCAAGAAAGGTTTTAAAAGGCAATCTTTCCCAGGACCCCTCATTTTAAAAAAATACCCTTATGAATAAAAAGAAACCATATGAGTCACACCTTGCTGCTCTGGCTCAAAGGCTACGGAGGGGCCTAAAATCACTCCTAGAAACACTCAAAGGATTGTAAACAAAGGAGAAATGAGGTGCACAGATGCATGCATCTTGTTTACAACCTGATTGTGTACGCCAGGACCTCTGCATGTGCATTGACATTTGAAGCAGGTTAACTTGAAGTGCCAGACCATAACAGGAGTAGTGGACCTGCAAAACTGCTATGCTTCATGTCAAGGAATGCTGGGAGCTGCTGTCCAGTAACACCTGAAGCCCCACCCTTTGGTCAACCTGGTTTAGAGGTCACAGCTCTGAATGCAGCCCCTTGAGGCAGCCAATCAGTTGCTCGCAGTGCATTGCTACTCACTTTTGGCATGCCCTCTGTTAGGGCAACTTTTGTTACGAACTGGCTGAATGTGATGCCTTCAAAAATAGGTTGAAGCCTGTAACTACAAGGGATACAACACGAGGTCTCTAACGTCATGTGAGGTTTGTGAATTTTAGCAACAGACTAGGTTTTCCACAAAATATTCAAGCACAAAAATGTTTATTTTTCTCTCTCCTTTTCTTCAGTATATACAATTTCTTAGGAGTGAGTGTTAGTGTCACTCACTGTTAGTATACAAGGGGCGGGGCTATACGACAGGCAATAGCAACAAACCAGAGGCTTCAGTGCAAGCAGAGAGGGAAATGATGAGAACAGATGTTCCATGTTTTGCTCGTAAAGCATACAGACATGAATTGAAAAAAAAACACCTCAAACAAATGAAAGATAGATGGTACAGAGAACAGAATTTGCTTACTACAGTTACAGTTTGCCCAGGCAGAAGACTGCATAATGGTCTACAAAATTCAATCTTGATCAAATTGATGGAGTACTGCAAATTCAATGGTACCAACAAAATACTGGAGACTCTTCTTAATCTTCAAAGTACAATTGAACCCTACAATTCACAGATTGGCAGCCCAAGACAGCTCTACCCATTCAGTAGGTAGGTGAAAAATACTGCCATTGTAAATAAGGTGGTGGTGGTAGATGTTGCCTTCAGCTTGACCATGATCATGGGTTGCTGATGCATGTCACTAGGCTTGTCTTTGTAGTTTTCCCAACGCCACTTCCACAAGAAAACAGAAATGTATGTCTCTCAAATCAACTTTTGTTGTTGTTGCTGTTGTTTTTTCTTAATCATGATGATGCAGATTCTACATACTATAAAGTGAATGAAACAGAGGGGTAGTGGGGAATATAAGCCAATTCCATCTGCAGTGGAAGCTGAGTTCAAACATTATTGTTATAATTTTTTTAAGGGAACAAGAAAGTTTCACATTTAATTCAATTTCAGGGAGAACACTTCTAGCACACCAAGAACAAGTGTTGCTCTGAACTGAGACCACAGATGGAATAAAAACAGGTGACATGCACATGAAGTTCAGTACTTACATAGTTCTCTTAGCAACTTTGGGTAGGGGATCTCCTATAATTAAGATTTTGATTAGGCTTATTTCACATATGAAACATGCATGGACTTTTCATTTAGCTACAGTAAATTAACAGATTGGTACAGAATGGAGAACTGTTGCAGCTAAATGAGAGAGAATGAGAGAGAGAGAGAGAAAAAATCTGGTTGCCAAATTTGCTTTGTCAAAGGAAAAGAGAAGTTGTTATTTGTACCAGCTATTCTGGAAAAACTGCATAACAACTTGAGCTGCACTGCCCAAAGCTATTACCTGCATATTATATACAACTTTCTTTCAAACTCTTGTAAATGCTCTTATTGTAAAACAGTGGTAATAACTGTATTTCTCTTCTTTCACTCAAAAGAGGATTTCAATTAATGTGGCTAAATAACTCACCCTGAAAACACTTAAACCACCCATTTTATTTATTTATTTATTTAATTTATATGCCGCCCACACTACCCAAAGGTCATCATTCAATCACCACTTAAAATAAAAGCATTTACAGGAGAAAATGAAACGAATCTCATCAGGAGTTTCAAGTGTAAACCTTCAATATCATATTTATTGCAAATAAACAAAAACTTTAAGTCACACAAGCAAATTGTAAATAAAATACACATTTTGACTATTATTATTATTTTACATCTTTCCAGCAAGACCTGAAAAGCTTGAATTCAAGGCACTATACCCCTGCAGGATTAATACAGTTGTCTGAACCATCAATTCAAGTACATTTCAATATCGAAGGTTCACCAAAACACAAAATAAAGACTCTTCAGCAATGAAGGAAAAGCAAATATTGCCATAATGACAAACGAATTGGTGTGAAAACATTTCACAGTGATTGCCTGATGCAGTGTATGGCTGGGTTGCACTAGCAAGGTCTGAACTGAGCGCCAGCAGTAAGCGCGTCCTGCATATGGGCTTGAACGCTCTGCGTTTACAGTTGGAAACCATCATCAGCTATGGAGAGGCGGTACAAAGCTAGGTTATTCTCAGTTTGGTGCCTGGTCGGCTGAGAACGGGTTGCTGCAGTGGCCCGGGAAAGAGTTGGAAGCTATTTTTGCCCAGACCGGGAAACTCTCCAAAGCTCTGACCACTTGCAAGTCCAGATTGTGCTGCCAGGCCCGACCACTGCACACCAAAAATGGGCGTAGGGAAAACTCCTCCGTACTGACCAAGAGGCATCGCAAAAGGTTTTACTGGGCCGGAAAGTATAGTACCTGTCACAGGCACTGGCATAGATGGTGAAACTCCAGGAGTTAATGCTGCTGGTATTGGGCAAGAAACTGGAACAATGCACTGTCTCCCCATTCCTGTTCTTACTGAATTAACCTACAAAGACAAACATAAAAAAGCACAGCTATTACGCTTGGACCCTCCCAACTGAGCAGTTACATTTTAAAAAGTGGCCATTTCTCAATCCAACGGTGCCATTCTCAGCTCTGTTCTGAGGGTATGTGCTAGCTTTGCTCCCTCCAGTGGCTGAGAATGTGAATGAGGGGTTCAATGCAGAAACCCTGCCATTATTGTGCCATCATTTCTAACACTGGACTCCCCTAGGTTTGAACGGAGGGAGAGGGAGATAAATTCTTTGGCCAGCCTACATCTCAAATGAATGCTAGGCACTATGGTGCCTCACACAAATCACCAACAACATTACTACTCCATCAACATGTTGGAAGTGATAACAAGACAGCACTCCCCTTCGTTGAAAATATTGATGACAAACTACGGATATATTTCCAACAACATTTTCTGCAACATGTGTGAAGACTGCATGCCTGTGCACACGGTTAGCAGTCTGAAAAGCCAACAGCTCCCATAATACTCCAAAACATAAATTGAAAATATGGAACAAGGAAGTTAATTCTCCCCTTTTCTGCCAATATTCTTTAAATATCTTGCCAGTCAGACTATTCTTGTGGATGCCAGAACACACGTGCATGCAAGACACACACACACAGAGAGAGAGAGAGAGAGAGAGAGAGCGCTTTCCACTGAGTAGTTCAGTTTCACTCAAAATATCTAAGCACTGCAGATCTGGATGAAAGAGGCTTCTTTTCTCAACACACAGAGCAGCTGATCCTCAGAATTAGGAGCTTAAATGAAGACCAAAGGCCTCCAAAAGCAAAGCAATTATTGAACAACCACCTGTCTAGTTGCCTCCATGGATTTGTTAAGCAGGTTTTAATTTCGCACACGCTTTACAGCTCCTGAATTTATTCCGCTAAATCAGCACAAGCTCTTGGATGATGCTTCTTTCGGGCAAATTCCACTGTCTATAGGGTCAAACTGAAATTACACCCAAGAGATTCAGTGTGAGTATTATTAAGGCATAAAAGGTACATAAATTTGTTAGACATTGCAAGGGGAGGAAGCATAATTGCCTGCATAGGGTTGGTTTTTGTTCTTTTTTAAAAGCGGATTAACTGCAATTCTTTCCATGTCTACTCAGAAATAAGTCTCATGGGTTCAATGGGACCTAGTACCAGGTAAGGGTTGTTGGAACTGCAGCCTTAGGTTCATTGTGGGACCTGCCGTGTGGTTTCAGGGCTATCTGAGAGCCAGGCAAAAGCAACAGTTTGCCCTAGGCCTCCACAACGCCAGGGATCCTGGCCTCAGCATCCATGAAGAGCCTTGTTTCCTGCCTTAGTCCTGTCACATGGCTAAGCAGAGCCTTACCTTAAAAGTGGCAGAACTTGGAAGTAACTAGTCACATGTAATATAGTTACTGGCAATTAGTGTAATTGGGTGATGAGTACTGAAACTCATTTTTCTCATAGTTACTTCATGAGACCACAGGTAACACATTACTTAGGTGCAATAAGTACCACCTAGTTATCTTCAGAAGTTAAATGCTAAGGATTATTTGACAGAAGGTTTTCAGATTTAATGCATTTTCTTATCAATCCTCAGTGGCGAGAAAGCTATTCTTTCGTTTTGTTTTTAGCATTTTTATAAATGGGGAGTCAATGTAGTGTAGTGGATAAAGTGTCAGACTAGGGCTTAGGAGACTAGGACTGGGTTCAAAGCCCCATTCAGCTACAAATAATCACTGGTAAAACTACACCTTAAGTATCTCACACCCTCAAAAACCCTACTAAGTCATCTTAAGTCAGAATCAACTTGGCAGCACGCCACAGCTTTTTATAATTATTTCCAGGAGACAACATCAGTTCTGGGCACTAGAGGAAGCCGGAGAGCATTAGCCTGTATTTTTCATGCCTTCTGTCAACAGCAATGTAACATTGTTTCATGGAACTATAACAAACTTCCCAGAAGTAAAGAGAAATGTAACTAATTCCTTTCAACATGTCACATTCTGAGCCAGGTGTGGGGACGGTTGAGGCAGGGCCTCAACATCACAGCTGCACCAATGCTCTGCATCCTCAACCCTGGGGCCCAGGGATTTGAAGCTCAATTGCTACAATCAATTTATTTTATATGGATGAAGCGTAGTGAGCCAAAAAAGGAATTCTCTCTTGCCTGTACATTGAATCAAGTGTTATAATACGTGGGCAGCCTAACTATATGGATTTGGGAGGAGTTGCTTTATCACAGGCAAGTGGCTTTGGCTTCTTTTCCTCTGGTATTTTCACGCTTGCCTGCAGAATGCTGCTGGACAGTCCACAGCTGTTGCCACCCAGTCCAGTGTCCTTCCTTATGGGTACTGCCAGGAGGACCTGAATCCCTGGATCCTCGAAGGGAAGACAATGGTGCTGTTCCCCAGCCAGCGAGAACATCTCCTCTGGCAGGTGATGTTGGAGTTCAAGGAACCCGTGAGCTTAGCATGTGATGTTTCTTTATAGGCTTATTGTTTCACATCAGCACTCTAGTGCAAGGATTTATTGTTTCAGTGTGCACCAACTTTCTATACCCTTAATTGTCTTCCAAAAGAGACAGCGCACCACGAATGTTTAGCCCCTTGTTGGAAAATAAACTGATGTGGACCAATGATTTTTTACTATGTATCAGCTATACATTCTGCTTCTGCAGATGAGAGCAATTAACTTTTTCCATTTTCCAGTAGCTGACCAGGTATCTACCCAGTCTAGGTTCCTGGTAGGAAATTGGGAGCATAATAACCCTGTAGATATAAGGTTCCCTTTTGAAGGCAACCGGATTCCATATAAACAAAGGGTAAAGCAAAAGTGTGCTGCTTGTTTACTGACCCATAGTGCTTAGAGCAGTCTCTGGGCAGTTTATAACTTTAATTATGCAGGCTACACATTATAAATGCCCCCTTGTGAAAAGCCAGAAGGACAATCACGCATGCAATGCACCTTTGCATGCACAGTAAAAGCAAATGAGATTTCAGGAAGAGTTACCCAGCAGAGAAGCTAGGTGTCACTTGTAACACATATTTCAAGTCTAAGGACAGCTGACAAATTTATTTTCATATAAACAGTCCCTCTTCTCTATTGCAAGCCCTGTTTACTACAATCCAGTCACATTGTATGGGTTCTGCAGCTCCTCTGCATCATATTATTATGGTTGCTGCAATTTCTGGTTTGGACACCAGAGCACTATGTAATGATTTCTGCATTACCGTCAAGTGTCAGTCTTTGCTAGTGGGGCATTTCCACACTAGTCTTTCAGATCCGTTTCCATGTAGCTTTTTATTTTACTGCTTCTGCCATTCTAAAAGGTTTCACTATCCCCTGCTTCTTCTAGTTTGGTTTGAGGAGGCAGTTCCCATTTTCTCATGGCTTTGATGCCAAGATAGCATGGCATGTTAGCCATGTCCTTGGTCTCGGAGTTTTGACCGAGCCTGCATACGTATGATTTTACGATGGTCCATTTGATTCCAGCAGTAACAATGTCATCCAGTATATTAGGAAGTAATCCCATTGACCTTCTCTTTTTTCTAGAATAAATGAAGAGGTCTGTCTCACTTTGGCTGAATGCTTCTTTTATGAGGCCTTGGTGGACATTGTCATTCCAGGCCCTCACAACCAGATTGGAATATATAAATATGTTTGTGGGGCATGGCATACCTATGCCAATCCATACATGTTTTTCTTTATGCCATCATATAGGAAGGTTGTATTTAGGTTCAGCTGATATGCCTACATCTCATGTTGGCTGCTGCCCCAAGGAGAGTTCTTACGCTTCATCAGTGGAACAAATAACTGGTGTTCCTGGCCACATTTTTGCAAATATCTCTTGTCAAAAAAGTATGTTTTGGCCTCATTTCTAGGTTATTTGGCAATGTCTACCCACCAGATGTTTGTTTGTTGTTTTTACTGAATAGGAGAGTATCCAGGATAGCTGTCTGTTGTCTTGCTTGACCTTCTAGACTCTGACCCTAGTCTCTAACCAAGACCAGCACAGTTGATTGTGTTGGGTAGCTTGCCCACTGTCATGTCTTCTCTTGCCTCTTTTGCTTGGTGATGTTTTTCCTTTAGCAGTGTCCATTTTTCACAGTTTTGCTGGTGTTACATTGCTTGATATCAAACTGCCACGGAAGTCAGCACTGTAGCATTAATATAATATTAATATATATGTTAGGCTGGAAAATTCTGTATCCCTCTACCCTGTGTGTGCCCTACTGTCCCTTCTGCCAGTTTTATCCATTTTTTAATTTATGTGGCACATTTAGGTGCTGTAGCCAAAAGCTCTGGTGTGTCCTTTGCTGGGTGTTGACCGAGGCAGTTTCTTATACATGTTTCTACTTGGTTTTGATGTCAATCACGTCTGAAACAACCGTGATCTTTTTTTCTTTCTTTCTAAAATTCACTTGAAAGGCCTGCATCCAATAACATACTTCTCAGCATTCCTATCATAGCCTGGTTCTCTTGTTTTATTAACCTATTTTGTTTTGGTGGCAGCAATATTGTAGTGCTCTGGTGCCTTTTTGCTTGAAGTCTGTGTGTTTCATTTCCCCTGTACTTCCACCCTTGGCCTATTTAAATCATGCCAAGTTGTTGCTACCTGTTTGCTGCTACAAATTATTTCAGCTTGTCCGGTGTTCCATTCTTGATGTTTATGGAAGGCATACAGGTGTATCCAAAGTTGTCATCAACAAACATTATGAAATACCTTTTCCCAGTAAGATTCAGTATCTTTACTGTCCCATGCTGGTCACTGCAGATTCGCTCCAAAAGCTGTCTGCCTCTCTTTTGGCTGCTCTTAGGCAGAAAAGTGTGAGGCTGTCTTGGCTTTGATGCAGCCTATCGGCTTCTTCTGTGTTGGGCATGTTGATATCATCATGTTCTCTACCAGATCCTTGTCTACATGTTCATTTATTTTCTCAGGCAGATTTTGTGCCGCAGGTATCATTGATGTGGACGCATTTGTCATGGAAAGCTTGGCTAGCTCATAGGGCTTCC